GTCTTAACAATACTTACAACTAAAATTTTAGGAAAAAATATTGATAAAACAAACTCTTTACAATTTTTTGGGGAAAAAAAAATGTTTGCCCAAATTTGATTTTGATAAGTTTGTAGTACACTAACTCCATAGGCCACAGTTTTGACTTTTGATTAAAAAAAAAACGATAAAACTTCTTAATCAGAATATATAAATATATCTACTAGGTGATGTGACGACAATTTAAAAAAGTATTTGGTAATCGTCACTATCGGATATCGAATAGTATTATCAATTATATAAGTTTAGGTAAAAAGCTACCGAGTTTAGCAATAAACGCTCTCTGGTTCAGGTCCCGATGTAGTCGCCGCGGTCGACATCTCCTCATATCGCTTCGAACGGCGGTCTGCATTGCTCGTCCTGCACTAGAATGTCGTTTCCATTGCTACTTGCCGGTGTGCTTCTTCACCGGAGAGGCCCAATCCACCGATCTCCTCCCCTCCTTCGCCCCTTGATGGCTTTAGTGAAGCCCGTGGCTCTTCTCCGACCTGTATCCTCCGCATCTCCCTCTCGTCATTTCGAGAGCTCGGAGGTTACTCAGGCGAGGCCATCTCCTTCACCTGAGCCGCCTGATCTGCCAGACTCGAACTCTGCAACGTCGCGCGTGCTCAGCCCCTCCACCTTCCACCACCGCCTAGCTAAACTGTCAACCTTCCTAGATCTATACGGCAGGAGATCTAGCTACGGTCCACGGTGCAACAATGGCGGTTGCTCGAACCACCACCATCTCCGAGATATCTGTCGACTCCGCTGGTCGTCGACTGAGATCAGAATCCATTACCACCGCTTACCCGGTTCAACCGTAACCACCGCCGGCGAAAAGTCTCTCTATAGAGAGTAATCTCTGGTTTCCCCTCCACTCTGCCCCACCTTCCCGGAACCACCCCCCTCTGTTGGGATCTTGCCGGGAATGTCCAGCCGCTCACCGGAGCCTCCTTCGCCATTTGCGCCGCCGGTCACATCTTCCCTCAACCATCCATCGTGATGGGTTAAGATGGAATATGGGCCTTTCAACGCCCATAGAGATTAGGCCCAATTGGAATATGTTATTCAATAATTCTGGCCCAGCTCCTTTAGTGTTTAAAATCAGATTTATTAAAATTTTATATGCTTTTGAGCCTAGTGATTTCTCCTTGTTGGGAAGTCCAAAGTTTTCTGGATTCTCAAATCCTGTAATGTACCGGTGGGAGAGTTCAATCCTACCGTCTTCCATCTCTTTGAGATTGGTCGTAGTTTCTTCCCTCTCTTGGAGAGTGGTCGAATCCCCGAGCATTATGCCGGGTTCTTCAAAGTCACATTGGAAAGTGACTAACCTGAGACTCTCCGGCCTAGCCGTGAAGACCCTCTTGACGCATCCGAGACATGTTTTGGATCCGCTGTCCATCTTCTACGATGATCAATTCGCTTTATGTTTTAGCGCATTTCATTTATGTTGTATTAAGGTTGGAGGATGTTTAATCCCTCTTTTTGTACTATTTAAATTAATGAAAAACTTTTGACAAAAAAAAAAGTTTAGGTGAATTTGATATTATTATCAACCAAGTGGTAATTGGCTCGGTGATTTCTTCTTATTTGTCTAGAACAAGAATCAAATTCCCTTAAACGTAATTTGGTCATCTGTAGATGGGTTATAATTTGTTATTATGTATGAGCTTTGTAAACAAATTATGTATTAGTAACAAATTATAAGTATATCAACGCCAAATTACAATCCCCTTTAGATTTTTATTCATATAATTCGTACATATAATTACACACATGGCTTAGAGACAAGATAATTGTTGTTATAAACAAAAGCAATATACATATTACATCTTCAATATCTCTATGTTTTGAGAAGATTAGTTTCAATATCTTTGGTGAGATAAGCAGCGAAATCCATATACTTGTTCGGCGCTGGAGAATCCGAGTTAAGCTTCTCGTATTCCCAGCTCCATTTCGCTATACTTCTTCCATGGAGCTTCGGTATAATCTGAAGGTTGCATTTGAAACTACTGTAATTCTCCATCACATCTCCATCGAACACAAACACAGTCATTGATTTGTTCTCCTCGTCTATTTCGACTCTCTCCTTCATCTTCTCCACTTTTCCATCTTTTAACAAAACTCACGAAATCATATTGTTACAAAGAGTAACTTATGGAAGTTGTAATAAGAGGAGACAAAATAACTTTGTGTTTTTACCGACAGATAAAGTCCAGTTCTTGGTGCCTTTACAGTCATCACCAGTTTGCTCCTCGACGCTAAGTATTTTCTCTGGAGATAGTTTTGGTACGCTCCGCGAAGTTGCCTTGATCGCTTGGAACATCTTATCAGCTGACACATTGATCTCCACTTCTATCATTGATTTCGCCATCTGAGCCATCGCTTTTCTGTTGTTGATCTTTGAAGCATGTGTGTAACTCTGCTTATATAACTGCAGTCTTATGGAGGAAGAATCTGTACCGGAATATGGTACCATGCCTAGTATTCACGCTAGTGTATACATTAATAGTTTCTTTGCTGCCTTCGCATACAAGACTCTCTTTTGGGGAATTGATTCACCAAGAATCTTCACCCCAAAAAAACACAAAGTTATTGTCGCAAGTGTGATGAAACTTTACTTAATTCACATTTAGTCGTTAAGTCTTAGGGGAACACAAAGGCTCGACTCTTGAGACTTGTATAACTCAACTGATGCAGGAGTCTTGTTTCACTTCTCCCATCAAGAGAATACAAAGTTCACGTATATATATATACAATATTAAAAACAAGGTTTCAGTTTTTTATTCCGTATGTGCATTAAAAGATTTCAGGATTGATCTACGTGTTATACTTATATTTCCTTTTTGTCAACCAGACAGCCTTTTTTTTTTTTTTCTTGAACTTTTCGCATAGAGGCAGAGTTGAACGTCCGTTCTAAAGAATTAATGTTGAAGTGATAATGGCTCTGAATGGCATCACGATTCGGTTCCCATGCGGTGACCTCAATCGCATGCGGCTGATGAATGTTAATGCGACTTGAGCGTGACGCGTTTGAAGTGTGTGGAGCGTGCGATTAGTTATGCGTACATTACAAAGACTTCAAATCGGAGTGATGAGGTCCGATAAAGCTGCGGCAAGCTATTATGAAATTTGTCTTTCCAATTTTACCACTCTGTTTTTTTATAAATTTAGGCAATACAGTTAATTTTTACATGGTGATTTAATCATAGTTCATGTGTATTCTCTTGATGGGTTTTCTAGTATTCGAAATATAAAATATTATATTATTAACCAACGTAGAGGGTTTATTCCTACTACAGGTTGCTTCAAATTAAAAACTTCAAACATAACTTGCCCGTTGTAGCATGCATACAAAGACGCATG